GTATAAGCCAAAAACATTTTAAGACCAAATAGCAACTTCGACTTACGCAAGGATCATAAAAAATACAAATTAAATTTTTAACTTTATAATGTTAAAGTACCGTTTACTTACGTATAATACAAAAAATTACTGTCTCAAAAGATTAACAATATTAGAAACAGCTGCATTTATTCTAATTAAAATATGTGTTTGATTTTGAAATCGCGTTAAAAAATTAAATTTATAAAAAATAAAAGTATAACAAAACAACAACGAATTTTGTGGGCAACTGCAGCCTCTTTGCCAAAACAGAAATTTAGTCCGTGGGTCGTGAAATTTATAGTATAAAAATAAGTGTAGTAAAAATGTTGGAAGAAAAATTGGTAATCTTTTTTTAAAAATAATTGATACAAGCTTTCCTGTTATTCATTTATTACACAAGATTTTTAACAAAAACATCATTAAAATTAGCTACTCGTGCATGCCGAACGTTGAATCAGTCATTAATTCGCATAATCAAAATATTTTATACAATCATGAAAAAACAACAACAAAAACTTGCAAAGGCATTAATAAATCTACCTGCGTTATGAACAACCAGTGTCTAAGTAAGAGCATTGTGTATCAAGCTACTGTTTCATCCAATAAACTAGATTACACAGATAAAGTTTATATTGGTATTAGCGAGACCCCTTTTAAGTTAAAGTATGCAAACTATTTGAAATATTATAATTTAATTAAGTACAGCAATGATACAGAGTTATCTAAAGAATTTTAGAAACTTAAAGAAGAAAACTTTTCGTTTGTTACTAAATGGAAAATTATCAAGCGCTGCCAAACATATAATCCTTCGTCCAAAATTTGCAATCTTTGTCTTAATGAAAAGTATTTCATTTTAACGCATACAGGGGGAAACCTATTGAACAAAAGGAACGAGTTGGTTTAAATTGTAGGCATAAAAATAAATTCCTTCTTTCGTTTTATGATACTGGCGATTAGCTGATTTATATGAGATTTTCTTTGACTTTTTTTTTTGTCTCTATAGAAACGTCATTTGTCGCTCCACTGTATTTTGTAATTTTATTAACGGTTTGTTTGTTTTTGATATAGTACATGGCTGATGATTGCCGTATAGGCATGAAACTATTAGTCCCATGAAAAGTTGTTTTTTCTACATGTAAATATATATATATATATATATATATATATATATATATATATATATATATATATATATATATATATATATATATATATATATATATATATATATATATATATATATATATATATATATATATATATATATATATATATATATATATATATATATATATATATATATATATATATATGTATATATTGTGATTGTCGTAATAGCATAAAATGAGTAATTATTTTTTAAAATAACACGACGTTTTTTATTCTTGAAATGTTTTGTATTAAAAAACTGGGGTTGATATTTGACTGGGGCCGGGGCCGGGTTTGATAAAGTATAGCTGGGTCCATGACCGGGTTTATGACCGGGCTGCATAAACATTTATACATCCTAAAATATATTTTTTTTAATTCAAAATTCATGCTATATTTTGCATATATATGCATATATGAACATCATTGTGATCAACATGATCATCATAATCTTTATAACCATCATCATCATCATCATCATCATCATCATCATCATCATCATCATCATCATCATCATCATCATCATCATCATCATCATCATCATTATCATCATCATCATCATCATCATCATCATCAGTATGGTGATTTCTGGTTCGCTAATGTAACCTTTACGCGGCGGATCATAATGACGTGGTTCTAAGGTTTAAAAACGGATATTTTAGGCAAATTGCTTTCCAAAAGAAAGTATTAGTTTCCAATTCTCAAGCCATGTAAAAAAAAAATTGTTTGAAAAGTTATTCCATCTTGATACTTAAGCTAAAGTTTAAAAAAAGTTGCTTTACCGAAATTATCAGTACTCCGGGTAGACAAAAGGTGATGTAAAAAGTTTTTGTTTTTCATGATTTTGAATAAGTTTATGACTACATCACCCTAAAAATAAAGGAAATCACCTTTCTTATATTTGGGTATTTAATAATTATCACAGTTTTTTTTTTTTAAATTTTTAAAGGTATAACTGTATTACCTGAGTGAACTGTGAGCGTTAGTTTATAGTTGAAAAGAGAGTTTCAAAGTGTCATATTCAGTGCATTTTCGAGAAAATTTCTTAAAAGATTTTTAATTATTTGTATTAGGTGTTTGAATCTTTAGCAACTGATATGCATTAAAATAATATAATTTTTCAAATATACATATTTTGTTGTTGTGAAAATAACCATTAAAGTAGCTATTGTGGCGTTACAGAACATGGTAGTTGTTGCATTACAGAACAATTTAGTGTTAAATTAGTACCGAATAGTTCCAAAAAGGTTTTATATGTTTTTAAGTAAACTTTAGGACAAAATTAAACATTTATTTGTTTTTGAAATGTATTTTTCACATGTGATTAAAAACCACTGCTTTGACCGTAACAAGTGTCATTTTAAAAAGTCGTATAATGTCGCGCATTTTATCCTAAAAGCTAAAATAACCAAATAAACTTTAATAATTAAATACAAAAACGTTAAAAACGTTTTTGTATTTAATTATTAAAGTTTATTTCTAAAAAATAACATTTTTATGTCTATATATAAAAAATCATATAAAAGTTTTAATATCTTATTCACATCAATGAATAAATCCTGGCTTTACGCGCGTACGCTTGCAAACGTGTGAAGTTGTTTACACGCTCAAGCAATTAAAAAGTATCCAGCTTTAAAAAGTTTTTATTTATGGTTTCAATATAGTATAATAAATTTACTCGATTTCTATAAAATAAATAGGAATTACACTCAATGCCTTTGAGTAACAACTTTTCGTATCAAAAATTGAGGCATACGTTTCTTTTAATTTCGAGTAAATTCAAAAGTTGATTCCTTATAATTTTTAATTAGCGTTGCGCATTTCGAATTTTTAAGGGATATTTATTTTTTATTATATTTATTTTATTAGTTATTATTTATTATAGCTATTATAACACGAAATTTTAACTTTTTTTTATTTCTATTAATCATTTTACAACTCATTATAAGTGCTGTATTTACTTCACTTTGATCATAACATAATAATTTTGGTCTCGAAAAAAAAAATTTATTTTAAAAATTAAAACTGTTTAATTTTAGTTGTCTTAATTGTACATCAAAATGACGAACTTATTAGAATATTTTGAAGCACAACCAAGATAACAACTTCTCTGCGGTTGCATTTTAATATTTCTGGAGATATTTGAATCAATGTTTTGCATCGCATAGCTAAGATTTTAAAATTATCAGTCCACTCGCGAAACAAGTAAATAAAACAAATATATAGGATATGATTATTTATCAACAGTATTTACAATTAGGTTTAAAAATTCCTTTAACTCCATTAACCTCCATTACCGAGGTGAGACGTAAGTGAATTTTCAGAATTAAAAAAACCATATGCGTACTTTTACAACAAAAGTGATAAGCATACTCCAACAATCCGGGAAACAATTTTTAGGCTTCTAAACTATAAAAATTAGTCATTAATAGAATTAAAAAATTTATCAAATTTACAAGGTATATATATATATATATATATATATATATATATATATATATATATATATATATATATATATATATATATATATATATATATATATATATATATATATATATATATATTGTACTGAGATTTAGGTCAGCAGTGTGACATCATACTGAAACAGCCTGCTGTCGGGGGCTTCAGTACATACTCACAGGCAGCAGGCTATTTCAGCATGACGTCATACTGCTTACCTAAATCAGCAGTATAAGATTTATATACATGTGTGTGTGTGAGTGTGAGTGTGTGTGTGTGTGTGTGTGTGTGTGTGTGTGTGTGTGTGTGTGTGTGTGTGTGTGTGTGTGTGTGTGTGAATAAATGTATATTAATAAACTTAAGCCCAGACAGCCACCTCGCCCTAATAAATAAGTCAGCATAAAAAAAATTGCCTAAAAAATAAGTTAAAAAAAAAATTTTAACTGAAAATTTCACCTTCATTCTAATGATTGATACTTGAACATTGTAAAGAACCTTCCCAACATTTTCACAAGCATCTTCAAGTTTTCAATAAGGTGTCTGACAAAAAAAATTAAAACATATAAAGAACCGATCAAATACCTAAGCACTTAAACATGTACCTGTTAAAAAGGTTATCCTAGTATTGCCATTCATTATTCATATTTTCTAAACTTAATTTTAGAAAACTGTCTAAAAAATATCTAAATATTCAGAAAAGTTTTTATAGAAAGAAAACTTAAAACTGTTTCAACTTAAATCTATAGAAAAAAGATTTATAAATAACAAACTTTGATGTTTATAAATCTTTTGGTTAAATAGAAACATAAATTAAAACTATATAAATATTATTATAAGATTAAATATTTGAAATGATTATGTAAAAGTTTTTTTACCTTTTTTATACTTTGATCTAATAAAAAAGACTGGTAAAATAAAAGAGACTAATAAATTTTATATTGATTTTTTATTATTATAAAAGATACACAAAGTTAAAATTAATGTTTTTTACTTGTTATTTTTGTTTTAAGGTATCGCACTTTTGCAACTAGTTGATCATCCGAGTATTTTGATAAAGTTTTTTTGGCTTTAAGATTAATTATGGCCATAACATTTTCCTTTGACACAATTGATCTACTTAAAATTAAAGATGAAAACGATTGTTTAATAGTTTTATTTTCCTCTTTGGTGAAAATTGTCTTCATCCGAATACTCTGGTTGTTATCATTATAATTTACTACTCTTGATTTCTGCATATGCTTGATTTTGTCATAAATTTGTTTTGGTGTTCGATGTTTTAAAACTTCATTTGAGTAAGTAACTTCACGTATCAATGCTTGAGAAATAACTGACTTTTTGTCTGCAAACATAAATAAATCTTGTATTTCTTGAATTTCTTCTGGTGTCCAGTTTTTTTTAGTGCAAGATAATAATATATCTTTATTGCTTGGTTAATATTCTTTATCACTATCATTTTCCTCATTTGAATCAATAGAGGAACATTGAGATCTTGAATCTTGGATTGTTTTTGAACTCGAAGTTGGAACGTTTTGCAAAAGATTGCAAGAGTCTGATACTCTAGTATCATTTCTACCAAAAATTATTTTACCAACTTTTTCAGACACTTCAGAAACTTCTTTGTTTTTCTGATTAAGATAGTACCATCTTTCACCAGTCTCTTTTTTATGCTTCATAAGAGTCGCTAACTCTGACTTTATTTCTGGGTGATTATCATAAAAAAAAGTCAGAAGTGATTTCCACACTAAAGTAGCACAACTTCTTTTATCACAAGAATCATCAGGCAAGCATTTTGTAAAAAATGAATTTAGCTGTGTTGAAACACTACCTGACTCCAAATCACAACCAGACCATGTTACAAATAGATTTAAAGATTTTTTACCTGGAATTTGATTTCTAAAAATCTTCCAATAACAATCACAAAGTAGTTTTAGTTCTTCATTTATTACAATCTGACAAGGACCATATTTTCGTGCTGTTTTGTGCTTTTTTACAAGAACGATAAAACTCTTAGTAAGTGTGTATGTTCCTTTTAAATACTCATCAATAGTCATGTTGGATACTGCTCCAGACCTTGACATATTATTTATAATTAAACTAAAGAAAATGCTGTCTCTCATTTTCAGATGGTTTATCTCCATACCATAAATTGTCTTTGCTTTAGTTGTCACTTTAACACAAAATTCACTATTAAGCACAGCTTGGAAAGCTTCTAATGGAATAATATTTTCTAGATCTTGCATCACGACAGTGAATTGCCTGTCGCTTTCATCATTTTTTAAAGCACTTCTTCAATTATAAACCTCATTTTTGCATGAGTTTAACACATCTACAGAAATATTTACAGGCAAAACATTGTCAACATGTGGTGTTAGCTTTGATCGAATCAAAAACTCTATAAAGTGAGTAAATGAAAGCAAATATGATCGCTGGGTACCTGGTTCATAACCCTTTTTAACTACATGTGACTGCCAAACTTTAGCTAAATTTTGAAGGTCAAAAAACTTAGTGTAACAGGGTTCTTGTGGTGAAACAACTTGCATCATCCTCATTATTTGTTTCATTTCATTATGTGCAGCTACACTATCTTTTTTGCCACCTGATAAACTCTTTAAATATAAACAAAATACATCAAGGTAATCTTGAAATGAGGGTTCAATCAGTACACCATCTTTGTCCGGAATACGAGAAAAAGAGTAGTTAGAACTTGGGCTCTCTTCTATATTTATGATCGGAGGATTACCTTTGCTTTTTGAGTTTTATAAGAGTATGAAGGAAATTTTAATTTTAAATTGGTACTTTCACTATATAGAACTTTTTTATCAAGCATTTCTCTGTACTTAGACAGATTGTTTTTGAGATAATGAGGAGACCTATATAAATGATCGTGTATTCTTTTAGTAATAACATTGCAAATAGGACATCTGTATTTTTTAAATGTTTTGGAAGATTGACTTGAAAGGTTAGCCCTTTCTTTTCTCAAATCAAACTTTCCTCTTAACTTTTTGGCCTCTTCCTTTGAAAGTCCATGCTTAGATGAACGTGCATGTCTTGGTAAATCAATTATGCTATCATTTCATCCCGGAAGTGGGCATTTTACTGGCAACCTATGTGAACTTGTGCTTTTATATTCATTTGAGGTGCTTTTCTTGATTTTTTTTTTTTGGCTTTCCATTCTTTGAATATCTAAAAAAAAAAAATTGCATTAAGAATCTGCATTAAATATCTAAAAAAAAAAAATTGCATTTAAATCTGACAAAGATTAATAAAGTTCCAATTAAACAATAATGATAATCTTTAATTCTATAAAACTAATAATTATGAGATATTAAATATTAGCTCAGAACTAATTTTTCATTGTTATTTTATTATTGTTATTTTTGTTAGTATTATTATTATTAATATTATTTTTATCATTATATATTTCTATAACTTTTAATATTTAAAAATACTTTTACCTTTTCAACCTCAGAAAGTTTGCCAACTCTCATAAAACCTGTCAACATACTTCCCATTTTGGTCTCCTCATTTTCATCCATCATATTTTGACTATAAAACAATTATCTAACAGGTAAAACAAAGATAAAATATTTGCAACAAAAAAATAGAAAATAAAAAAATAAAAAAAATAAGAGAAAAAACCAAAGTTACTAAAGTATTAGACACCAATATAAAATCTGATATGGCAATTTAAGTTTCTCAAATTATTGTGGAAGACAGCAGATAAGAGTAATTCAATTTTAATAGATATAAAGCATTTTATGATAGATATAAGTAATTTTTTATACTCTCCTATAAATTTAAAAACTTCATTAAGAAGTGTAAAGTTTGTAAAACTTTAGTGTTCTTTTTACAAGCTTATTAAAAGTAACAAAAGTGAAAGTAAAAGTTATAATCTGAATTTAAACAAGATATAAACCTTTCAATAGCATTGTTGCAAATTTCATTATCTTTTGTCTAAATAAAATTAAATAAGTTAAAAAATTTGTATAGTAATTTTTGTTGATGAAATTTATGAAACACAAAAAAAAAATTACAAATTTTCTTCCAAACTTTTTATAAACTTTGGTCATATCACTAATATATTCCTAAAATTGAAAAAATATATTTCAATTTAAAGTAAACAACACCAAAATTTTAAGTAAAGAATAAATAAATAATTATTACATTTATTTGTAATTTGTCGCTTAGCTCAGCAACATCCTCAACAAAATTCTTAAAAAAATTGAATAAAAACTTTTTATACATAATGTGTAACAAGATAATAAAAAGGAAAATATAAGATAAGATTTTGTGAATAAGTAACATTGGTAATTGGTAGTACTGATATTCTTATATATTTATCAATATTGTTATCTCTCTCAATATTGCCTGAGAGGCAACTTTGAGAGAAAAGAAAAAATGCCCCATTTATTTGAATCATAACTTATCTGAACTGATTAATCAACTTTTGTAGAAATATTGACTTAATAAAAATGAAAGAAATAAAATCAAAAACACAAAACAAAGGTTTCAGTGCAACAACTTACTTTTTCAACTTGGTCAATATGAAACTCAATGTCTTTATTTAAATCTGAACAAACATGTAAAGCAAATTATTAACAAATTAAAAATTATACCATTCTCAGATTCATATTTTGAAAAATATTGAACATAACAATTTTTCCTTATTACCAAAAATTTATTTAATAATACTTTAAATAACAAATATCAATATACTAGGTTGGTTGAAAAGTTCGCGGAGCGGAAATGAAAAAACAATTTTATGATTCAAAAAATGACTTTATTCTTCAGTATATTCTCCCTTAAGAGCAATACACTTTTTCCAACGATTCTCCAATTCATGTATCCCATCTCTGAAGTGCGATTCCGGAAGGCCTTCAAAATACCCATTTACGGCTGCAATGACTTCTTCATGTGATGAGAAACGCTTTCCACGTAGAAATTTTTTGAGATGTGGAAAGAGGTGGAAGTCGGACAGAGCCAGATCTGGTGAATAGGGTGGATGTTCCAAGCGTTCGTACTTTAATTCGACCAATTTCGCCTTTGCAACATCGCTGATATGAGCAGGTGCGTTGTCCTGGTGATAAATGATTTTTTTATGCAGCAAACCAGGTCTTTTCTCACGAATTTTTTTATCCAACTGGTCCAAAAGATTTTTATAATATTCACCTGTTATTGTTTTACCGGTTTGAAGGTAATCTATTAATAAAATTCCTTTCGCATCCCAAAAAACTGATGCCATAACCTTCTTTGACGATTTTGACGCCTTCACTTGCTTCGGAGCTGAACAACCGGGTTCTGTCCACTCTGCAGTTTGTTGTCGCAGCTTCGGATCATAGTGGTAAACCCAAGTCTCATCCATGGTTACGAATCGACGCACAAAATCTGTTTTATTCTTTTGAAAACGGGCCAAATGTTCTTGAGAAAGTTTTACTCGAGTGCGTTTCTGATCCAGAGTTAGCGAATGCGGCACCCATCTTGCCAACAGCTTTCTCAGACGTAATTCATCGTGCAAGATGTGTAATACCCGTTCATCTGAGATGCCCACAGCCTCAGCAATTTCACGTTTGGTCAATCGTCTATCATCCATAACCATGTCATGCACAGCATTAATCGTTTCTTCAGTAGTAGCACTTTTTGGACGTCCAGAGCGAGGGTCATCTTCAAGGCTTGAACGCCCACGTTGAAACTCCGCAGCCCATTTGCATACTGTTGTTTTTGAAGGAGCATCATCACCCAACACATTTACCATTTCATTATGAATTTCCATGGGCTTTAAACCTTTTTTCACAAAGAATTTTATTACAGCACGATGTTCAATATTTTCCATTTTAAAAAATACTATGACACGTCTAATTTTAATAGCTTGTAAACAAAGACTGAAATGACATATCGACTTGAAATTTTTTATGCGTTCATACAAAGAATGAATACGTTTAATACAGTTATAAATTTGTTTCTACTACTGCAACATAGGTGCCGCTCCGCGAACTTTTCAACCAACCTAGTATAATTGCTCTGTTCTTTAAGATCATTGAGCACTCTATTTGTAGAATACACTAACATAATTTATATATTATTATTATTATAATATATATATATATATATATATATATATATATATATATATATATATATATATATATATATATATATATATATATATATATATATATATATATATATATATATATATATATATATATATAAATGTATATAAATAAAATAATTATTACATTTATTTGTAATTCTTCGCTTAGCTCAGCAACATCCTCAACAACATTCTTAAAAAAATTGAATAAAAACTTCATATAAATAACATAAAAGGATAACAAAAAGGACAATTTAAGATAAGATTTTATCAATAAGTAATTTTGGTAATTGGTAGAACTACTATTCTTATATAGTAGTCAATATTGTTATCTCTCTCAATATTGACTAAGATGTAATTTTTAGAGAAGGAAAAAATGCCTGATTTACTTGACATCAAAAAAAAAAACTTTAAAAAGTTTTTATTTATTTTAGCTCTAGGTGATTTAAGGCATAAACTGTCAAACAGAAAAATTCTTTTTTATATTTTTTTAATAGAACACTAAAATTTTATCAATATTGTGATTCACTGGTTTCAAACATTTCTATTTCTAATTTACTGAGAGCTTACAAACAAAAAATAATTTTAATACTATTCATTCCAACATGCTCAGCTTTAATTTCAATATTTTCCTTAAGTCATGTGGGTTTTTTTAGATCATAACTTGTTTAAACTGATTAATCAACTTTTGTAGAAAAATTGACTTTGTAAAAATGTAAAATTAAAAACACAAAAATTACAGTGCAACAACTAACTTTATCAACTTGTTCAACATAAAACTCAATGTTTTCATTTAAATCTGAACAAACCTGTTAAGCAAATTACCAACAAATTAAAAACTATACAATTCTTAGATTCATATTCTGGAAACTATTTAGCTTTTCATATTTTCCTAATTAAGAAAAAATTTATTTAATAATACTTTAAATAAGTATATGCATATAAATAAGCACAAACAACTAACCTTTGATAACAACGTAAAGATTAAGTCTTTAATAATGATTTCCTATAAAACATTATTGATAACTGTACAAAACCAAACTTGGTTTTTGTATACAAGTTTTGTATATAAATTTTATCAAAATAACAAAAAGTTATAAACCTCAGACATATCTGAATTAGTTAAAGTTTTTGGTTGAGTCTTCAGCTACACTAAAACAAAAATAAAATAAAAAATAAACAAGTACCACTGGTTACCAAAATGCTATTAGTTATCAGTGCAATATAGTTTTAACACTTCAAAAAATGTTTTTGAAAAAATTTATATAGAATGAATTTACGGGAAAAAATATATACGTGTTTATCAAATGCATTTATTTCATGCTTTATAAGGTAACTGCTTTCTTTCCACCTTTGAAGCCGTTTATACTCTTAAAACCGCATAAGGTTTAAAAAAAACTCTATACATAGTTAATAACAGTTCATACAAAAATATATAAATATAAAATTACAATGTAATTTTATTAAAATGTAAAAATAACTGAATAATTTACACTTGTGAGTAATTGGTCAAAAAAAGGAGTAATTACAAATTTAAAAACTTTAAAATTAGGACGTACTTTCTATCTGTGATTTTTTGAGTTTTTTTAACACCATATGTGAGAGTGACTTATCAGTATCTAAATAATTTAATAAAACTAAAATTAGGAAAAAAAATTATTTAGGTCAAAATATAAAACTTTATATTAGTATGAAAACATTTGATAAACTTCATAATGATTTTAACTTTATAAAATGAAAACTAAAAGATTAAGTTTACTAGATGAATCATCACTTTCTAAACTTTCTGTCCCATCTAAAACTTCTTGATAAAACCAACAACAATCTATCTATCTATCTATCTATCTATCTATCTATCTATATATATATATATATATATATATATATATATATATATATATATATATATATATATATATATATATATATATATATATATATATATATATATATAACATAAGGATACAATTTATAAGCAAATTAAAATACTACTTTTCAGAAATGTATAACATTATTAAAACCTCAGCCTAAAAATAAATGAAAAAAATATAATACTATCTAACCTATACAATTACAGAAACAGAAAAGAATGCAATGACAGTTATATTGTCAATGTTCTCATTTAATGTAAAAAAATACAATATACAATAGAGGTACAAAGTTCTACAAATGAAAACATACTTTTATTCTTGATATTTGCTCAACCTAAGCAAAAAGGTAAATGATTTCCTCTGGGACAAGAACTTTAAAAACATAATCGCTATCCTAAAAAAAATGTTGCCTTATATATGGCTCATAGAAAATATATTCATTGTTTTAGGATATGTTGACTAAAACTATGAAAATACGAAAGTATAAAAGCTAAATAAAAGTGCTTAGAAAAGTTAAAAAAAATTTAAAGTAAAAAAAATTGTTCACACAACAATATAAAATTATTCTTTTAGCTGCTTACCTTAACAGAGTTGAAAGATTTAGCAAGTGAAATGTACAAATCATGTTGTTGATCATCACTTAGTAAATCAATTAATTCTTGATCACATAAACTTTCTATGATTGGATGGATAAAAAATATTATTCATAACATTGAAAAAAATAGTTTTTAGTTAGAGGTGACAAATTTAATTAAATCAATATGCAGTTTTTGAATATACTGCATATTGTAGTGTGTAAAACATAGTATAATTTAAATGCTTCTATATCAATTAAAAAAACCAGTGCAAGCATACTTTTTTTTTGTCCTCCAGCTTGAAAAAAATCATGTCTGTAACTGTAGACCTAATATGAAATTTATATTATTTATAAAGAATGCTTTAACTTGTATACTAAATTTATTAGGTAAAATATATTGGTTGGAAAACTAAAACCACACGTAACTGACAAATTTTTTTGATAAATTTGATAAATTTAATTAAATAAAAATATATGAATATTTATATTTAAACTTACAGAACCGCAATATATTGACTTAAGAAGTTGTGACGAAGCAACTTCATTTATTTTTTCGGTTGTCATTTTTTGAAAACCTAAAACCAAAAAAATTTCCCTTTTATATTAAAATGCATCAATACAGTGCTAATAACTTTTATTTAAATGCACTAATGTTAGACATTTAAAATGTATGTCAATGTATCATACATCATAAATGTAGAAACTTTTATAAATAGATCTAAATATATCAATCTATCATTTTGTGAAACATGATTTGATAACATATTATCTTAAAAAACTCATCTTAATAGAATATAGACAATAACCTCAACAAAAACATATACCTCCTCCAACAATATTGTCCTTTTCATCAGTGGAAGATTTAAAACAATCTTTACAAATAATTTAAATTTAAAAAAATAGTAATAGTTTAAATGCAAAACAATAAGTTATTGAATAACATGACTAAAAAGTTTTCGAAAGAGAGATGTTGATACAACAATGTAATTAACTTAGGAGTGGATTAGTAAACTAGTAATTCAGTTTTTATGTTACTTTATATTGTGCTTTATCGTATACTTTTTTAAAGCCTATTAAACTAGACTAGTTATAGTTATAAACCTTACAAGTTTCTATTAAGATTTATGCCTTTTAAAAAAAATAAAAATAAATATGCACCTGCACATATCTTGCAAATAACATATCCATCACCAATCACACCTCCATGGCAATTGATGTTGATTACTTTTTTACAAAGTGGACATGTTGTTCCACAGAAAGAAGCGTCACCACAGCAAATGTAACCTTAAACATTGTTTAATTCTTTTAAATCATAAACACAGTTAAACTAGCATTCAAAAATCAAAGAGTATCAGAAACTTAAAAAATTAAATCGTAGTTATTTTTTTTAGCTTTTTATAGCATCGTTAAAGACAACTAGAAAAAATAAAATTGTATAACTTCCTTCTTTTGAAGTTTTGGAATAAAAGTTTAATGGCGGACAACAAGCAAAACACTTATACGGATGCCATTAAATGTTGCAATAACGAATTTTCCATGTTGGTGTTACATAAGCGAACGTTGAAGTTGCAAAAACGACCCTCGGAGTTGCCAAAACCAATCTAGTTGCAATACCGAAATTAAAAACCTCAATAACGAACATTTTTGTTGCAATTCCGTAGATCACCATGCTCATCATCATCATCATCATCATCATCATCATCATCATCATCATCATCATCATCATCATCATCATCATCATCATCATCATCATCATCATCATCATCATTATCATCATCATCATAATCATCATTATCATCAACAGCATATAAGCTGAAAGCTTGACAATGATAATGAAAATTATGTTGATGATGATCATCATCATCATGATAATCATCATCATCTTTATTATGGCACTATGTAAGGCACACTCTTCAAATTTTCTTACTTCTACCACAACCATTTTATACTGAAGATGCTACCACTCTACATGTTGATACCTAAAATACTTTAACTTTTTCTAAAAAAAAAGGTTGTTTGATACAACGTTTTTTTCTTTTTTATATCTTATTAGAGACACACCACACATCCATCTGATCATCTTCTCTTTCGGCAAAACTACACCATATATATACTAAAGTTTAACAACAATGAAAGGATATTGTATGCCAGCATCTGAACAAATAGAAAACAGATATGCTTATATCCATAATATGTGTGCAAAAAGTGCATCTTGGAAGCTTATATTGCTTCTAGAATAAAAGTTTGGAAGCTATTATTACTTCTTTTCAGTTTTAAATCAAGCCTTATTCTACTCTACATCTTGCAACATTAATCACATTTCCATCTTTTTTATAAGAACAGCTCTCTTAAGAACAAATTGTCCTTTTTATTATTGCAATAAGCTAATGTATAAAAAAAGTCTTGTCTAATGTAAATTTCTGTTATTCTCAGTGTACTAAACCTTGTATCTTATCTTAGATGTTAGGTTCTAGAGACTTTAGTTAAGTTTCCAACACTGTTATTAACTAAAGTAAGTCAGACCATTATTCTCTAATTCATGGGTCTCATATTTTTACTTTACCCCAGAGTAAAGCAGAGCTATTTACAATGAAATCTTACTCTAGTTTGACTCTCGAATATAACAGCCATACTCTTTGTGAAAGTTAAACAGATTAATTTATTGTTAAACATCAAAATTACTCTGGCTTCCAATACTAAAACTAATTTTCAATAAAACACCTCCACAGTTTGTCCTTCAGACAAGATTTCCATCATAGTCTTAAAAAAGTGTTCTCCAGAACTATCTACAATTTTTGCTAAACTTTAAAAAAGTGCTAAATATGTGGTTCTAATTTTTCAAAACTCTAGAAAACAATTAGTCCTCTCCTAGTATCCTACGATTGCTCTTTACTTTGCTAATAGTTTCTTTTAATTTTCTATGTAAAGGTTTTGAGGTTATTAAATTACTTAATTCTAACTGCAGTAGTGAAGTTATTCTTGAAGGCCTACCCTCTTTATTTCAAGTAACTTTAAGGTTATATATTTGCTCCTGTAATATTTTTTATCTACAATAACAATCATAATGAAATCTAAAGTGGCTCTATTTGCCGATGACTCCACTTTATACGCTTGTCTTGACAATAAATCTTCACTTTTTAATTGCTCAGAACATGCAGCCAATTTTAAATCTGATCTCTCTTCTATAATAACGTAAGGCTTGCTGTGCCTTATGGATTTAAATTCTGGACTTAAAATCCACAAGTTTTTTAGACAACAAAATTCATTTATTTACTGCAAAAAATATTGCAATATTGTTGGCATTCCTATATTGACAAGTAACAACCCTCTTACTCTCAGACAAAGTCTAAAAGCACATCGTAAATGTAATTAGACCTGCATTATCTGCCAAGCTTAAGCCAATTTCATATTTTTTAATGCTGCATTTCTTTCTTTTTTCTACAAATATAATCATGGTCAATGCTCAAACAAACTATCATCTCTATAACGATAAAACAAAACTCATTCTTGCTAGGCTATTTATTCAACAAGTTGCAACCTTTAACTGTATTTGTCCCTTCATGCAATAAAATCTTTTAACAGCATGATAAATAATTCAATTTTTTAATTAGTAAATTAGATTTTAAAATATATGAATGTATGCCAGTATTTAATAACTAATAAATGTAAGCATAAAATTATAATACATTAAGTATTATAAAATTTTTTCTAGCCCCGGCTATCAACCTCTGCTAAATCTTATAATTTTGCTGAGACCAGGTTTGCAAAAAGTCGCATTTTTAGCTGGGGCCGGGGTCCTGATCACTTAAAAATGTTTTGTAAAATTTATTTACATTTTCAAAAGATTATTTTAAAATAATAGAACTCTGAAAAATTGTCTGCCAAATGTCTAGAGGTTTCTACAGACATTTGGCAACTAGAATTAATAAGCACCTTAAAAGTTATAATACAATCTCATATATTTAAACACTTAAATTCATCTATTAATTTCTAAAATCTGGCTAATTGTGATTCTTTTGAGATTTTGGATAATGCCCCAACAAAACACAAATTAAAAAAAAAAAGAAGCCCACCACATTAAATGGAAAAGTCCCTCAATTAATAAACAAACTTCACATTAAGCTATAAACTTATCTATTTAATTTTACTGTCAGTTTATTATCTTTTTTTTTTTTTTTTTTCTTTTACAGTTAGTTATTTACTGAAATTGTTTGTAATAAATATATTGGTTTATTATGTAAATCTTTGTTCATTATTATTTCTGTGTAAAGACTTCTATTTTTTAATTTTAATTTATTTCAGAGGTTTATAATTGCAAAAAATGTCAAGAATAAAAAAAAAAAAGTGTTATTTTAAAAAGTAATTATATATATATATATATATATATATATATATATATATATATATATATATATATATATATATATATATACACATATATATATATATATATATATATATATATATATATATATATATATACATATATATATATATACATATATATATATATATATATATATATATACATATATATATATATATATATATATATATATATATATATATAAATATTTATATATATATATATATATATATATATATATATATATATATATATATATATATATATATATATATATATATATATATATATGTATATATATATATATATAAATATTTATATATATATATATATATATATATATATATATATATATATATATATATATATATATATATATATATATATATATATATATTTATATATATTTATATATATACATATATATATATATATATATATAATATATATATATATATATATATATATATATATACATAAATATATATATATATATATATATATTTTGCAACCATATATCCATACATTAACTAAATAAAACTTACTTCAATAGGTGTAACTATAAATCATCAATTTAAATCATAATATGTACTTTGTGATGGAAACCAGTTAAAGATAGAAACCAGTTAAAAACATATCATTCTTCGATCTTCGATCCACCAGAACGTTACTAAATAAATTTACACTGGTAATCAAACTACCAAAAGTCTAAAAATTTAGACAGTATTACTGAAATCAGCTTTGACCATTAGTTAACATTAGATTTTTTTAATTCTTAACTGTATAAAAAACAAATAAAAGTTAAATCCAAAGAGAAACAAAATTATTCACAAACATAGTTACTTACATTCTTCTTTAGAGTCCTCTGCAGTCGTGAAATTAAATTCTTCACATACTAAGCATGTTGCAGAAATCATTGATTGGAAAATTATTATAGGTAACTTTCTTTGCATGAACACCAG